GAGCAAGTCCGGACGCACATCAAGAATAGCCGCGAATGCTCCTTGCTTGCATACTGTAGGGGTTGTAAGGGATGCGGCGTGCCCGAACTGCCTTGCAGGCGACGCACAGTGTCAGAACTGCAAACGTTGTGCGAGACGACGGCGGCGACTCATATCTGGAGCATACCTCACGATAGCAAAAGAACTCGGGTATGTTCCTCCGGCACGATTGGATAGAATTTTTATCCTTGATGAGGAGGCACAGGAGCAGGAGCTCGAGGAACGGAGTGCCCTTGATGAAGAGGACGACAACGGGATTGTATAAATAGGACTGATATTTTTGCTTTATGATTTGAGTAATTATACCCGTATTGGCGCTTGATGCCTCATTAGCGTTCTCTATGTGATCGATGGACAAGTCGGCCGCGACCCACGCCAACATTGGCTGTATCGGAGTCGCAAGCTTCGGAAACGAAGGTTTGGGCATGTATGATCGTAAATCTTTTCCATAACTCCAAAGATGAAATTTCGGATAGATGGTTATATTTATTGTCCAACATCGCGATTTCGGACGAGAAAGAAGGCACCAAGCTTTGAGCAATGCTGCAAGATTGGCTGCCGTGAGGCATCCAATGTGTCAAAATTTTGTGGTCCGCTCGATAAGGCTAGACGTAGTCCAAAAGCATTTCTAAATCTATTCGATTACCAGTCATGTAACACAAGTTTTGAGATTGGGGAGCTACATTATGTCGACTACGCGTTCTGGACGACCTTACCCTACAGTACAGCTGCCCTATTCTCCCGATGATCCACATCGCGTCCGAAACTTGTCAGACCTTCAGCCGGGCGGACACGCCTACCTCATAGCTCAAATGAGTCTGGATATCTTTGTACTTGTACACATCTAGATCTCACGCGGAGATCATTAATGTTCTTGAAATACTTCGCTTTTTCTAGGGCTCACCGTCATTTTGAAAATTAAAAGAATTCAATGCATGTGAGCAGCAATGAAGTAGTAAATGTCAGGTCTCAAATGCATTTTTTGTAAATATCATTACCAAAGTAATGTTTACTTACTCAAGGAAGCAATCAACCAGATTGTATTGTATTATAGATATTATTCTCTAGGTGAATCACCCTTGTTGTAAAATTAATAGGGTTGAATTAGTGGGCGATATGCGTTTATAAAGTCTCCCATTTCCAATCTCCCCGTGTTTGCAACCTCCACAAACGCATCCCCAACAAAACCTGAGTGTTGCCATACTATGTAATCTCCGTTTTGTTTTGTATAATGGAACAGAAATAAATCCTAGTTTTATCCGCATGGACAATTCGAGGAAGGCTTCCTCGAGATCATGGATCACAGCAGAGGCGTCGGAACACGCTCCAGACCTTGTGCAAGGCATCAACTGCGACTACTCTACAGAAATTATTCATAGTGGTGCAAGGCTAGGTGTTGCATACAGAGCGATAAAATCCCACTCAGCCAATTTTACGAGTCAATTGGTTGCAGTCTTCTATACTTCCTAATGAAAATGTTTCAGGAATAAAACCCCCGGCGACGCACCGTCAACCTTCAAATAACGGTTGGACGGCATGTATTTTTCTACAATTCTTAAGTATTAGATAGATATGCAAAGAAATTTAGTGCTAAAGCTGAATGGGAACTCGATGTCCTGAGTCTGGGAACTCAGGAACTTCCAGATAGGGTCAGGATATTGGCTTCAGTTTATGTGCTGTGCCCCTATGCAAACACTTGAAATGTCCTTAATTTCAGGGATGGGATTTACACCAGAAGATTACAGATATTCAGAGTTCTGAAGAGTTCTGAATATCAAGCATACAGAAAGAAGGAAGGAATAAGAAACTAAGTTGATATCAGATCTAAGGTAAAGTACAAATTTGCAGAAACTAATATAAGTTCTTTTGTTATTGTAATACAAACTAAGATCACAATAAGATGGATTAAGGAAGTATTCTGAAATGGGAATACAACATGCAAATGAATGAATACTTGTCAGCTGACAAGTTACCAAATGCAGAACAAGGATTGGGATTGGAAGTATGGGAACTGGAAATGTTCCATGGACAGAAGTTGGGTCAGAAGTTACAGATAATCTCGGAAGATTGAAGAATCTGGGAATGGGTTGTAACAATTGACTGTTTCACCTTCCCCAATTTTACTTTGATAGAAATGCCAAGCATCACCAGTATTCATTTCTCCATAGGCCCAATTTTGGAGTTCTTTATCAGTAAAGTATTTCACAGGTCCATAGACCATGTTTTCATCAAATGTAGGATTCTGTGCCAAAAATTAGAGACACTCCACTGGATCTCAATAAAACAAGATTTGAGATTCATTAGGAGCTTCAGGGAGTATGATTTCTTTAGAGTGCCATTTTGGTCCCTGTGGCAAAAATGTATCAACCAAATGCCACATCTGATCTGCATTTTTAAATGACAAAAGGCACTATGTGATTTTTTGCCTATGTGATTTAATGTTAGACTGTTACATATATCCCCCAACAGTGCAACAGGCAAGGTTATCTGCTCACAAATGGTGTATTCAGAAAGTCATTGATTTTTTTCTTTGACAAAGCAGCTGTCCCAAGCCATTGAACCAAGTTCCATTCTGACTCATTATAAAATAGTATGGAAATTCTGCAGATGCTGTTTTGTAAATATCATCCATATATGTGGTCTGGTCAGTTTGAATGACCCTCCCAGCTTTGGGATATTCCTTTCTGGAATAAAGTCAGAATGTCTCCTCACTGGAGTAAAGCATTGCTTCTGGTTGTGTCTCTGGCATATCACTGCATAGCAATGCATATTATATTATCATGTAGCACATCAAATGACTCACTCACTTTTCAATTGGCTGAAGATCATCAGAGCTTGGGAAATGGTGGCATTTTCATCAAAAAGCTCAGTATCCACCATGTCCTCCCAAGGACCTTCCTCTCTGGTTATCTGCTCTGTCTCAGTCTGCAGCACCTGCTCAATAGTGCAGATTGCCTTTTACACTCCAGAGAACAAGAAAAGTGTGTGTTGATCCTATGAAAGTAGCACTGACAAAAGGGACACCTAACCTGGTGAGTCTGTGTGGGTGCTGTAGGAGGCATTAAAAGCAGTTGCAGTGTTTACCAGATCCCTGAAGGAATATGTAGTTGAGGGGATCCAAAATCTAACAAAGCAAATATGAGAGATGCGGAAAGGTTAATATGAAGAGAATTCAGCCTGAGAGACTCCAAGATGCTGTATAGCACCCACCTCAGGCTGTAGCACCTGTAATGTTAAATTTTGGTCTGAGAAATGATACAAGGAATGGGAAGCCTGGAACACATTAGCCTAAGAGACTCAAAGATGCCACATGGCACCCACCTGTCGCACCAGTAATATTGACTTCTAGTGCAGGAAACACTTTTTTGGAGTAATTATATTAAAGGGATTTGACAGCAAGGAGGAGAAACTACAAGAGGTGTAGGGAGGAAAGTGTGAGGGGAGTTCAAGTGTGAGAGACCTTGAGGCTGTCACACGAGAGGCTAGTGGGTGATTCTTCCCATTCATGCATAACTGTACCAAGATACCACTCCCAAACCAAGGAAAATTGCATATCCTCCTGTAGATCATCTGTGTTAAGAGCAGAAACTGACGGATGTCGGCAGACCGACGGGGACCGAACGGAAGGACTTGGCTTCAGCTTATGTGCTGTGCCCTCACAAGTTACCATCGGGTGTCCTTAAATTTCAGGCGGGCGGAAACTAGTCCTGTCAAGTAAACCTCTTGGTAAATTACCGATCGGAAACCGAAGGATAAGTTGAGGGTTGGGCTGAGGGGTCGGAGACCAAGAGTCGGAGACTGAGAGTCGGAGACCGAGGTCAGAGACTGAGAGTTGGAGACCGAGGTCAGAGACTGAGAGTCAGAGACCGAGGTCAGAGACTGAGAGTCGGAGACTGAGACAGTCGGAGACTGAGGGAGTCGGAAATCAGAGGGGTATATAAGTTGATCTAAGTTGATATTCTGATTGTCCTGTAACTACATTTACAGCAGGTCTATATAAGAGTTATCGGCGTCTAGAAACTACTAACTAAGGGAAGAGCGGAAACACTATTGACAAATAGACTTGACTAGAAACCGGAAGGTTACGATAAGATCGGAAGCTGAGATTTAGCCGAGAGCGGGATTACGAGAAAAGGGAATAGTCCACGGGCTACAAGTATATATGGGCATATGTGAAACATAGAGTAAAACGGATCATCATAATGAAAGGGGACGTATCAAAGCATAACCAGATGGTACGAGTATATTTTGACAGGGGTGTAAATGGGGTTTGATCGCCGTGAAGGTATACGTCAGTGTCGGTGTTCCGAAGGTTTCCAAAATGATGACTTGATCAATAGCTTGGCACATCGATAGACTGTACTATTCTCGGGGACCGTCGGATTGTGACATGGGTTACGACACGGTCGTAACAATCTGTCCTCATTATCTCCTGCAAAATTGGCATCTGAGTATCCATGTAAACAAGGAGTTTGTCCTCTCAATTGAAGCTCAAAATCTTGAGTAGTATATAGGTATTGAAGGCTCCACTTATGTAGCTAAGTTCCAATGTGTTCTTGCTGGGTTTGATGAATATTGAGACAGTTTGTTAACAGAATACATGATGTCTGGGCAGGATACAATTGCTGTGAACATCAAACTCCCTATAAGTTTGCAATAAGGCAGTTTCACAGCTTCAGTTCATTCCTCTTCTGTATCTGGGCAAATAATGGAGGCAAAATTAATCCCAAGTGATATGGGTGGGAGTTTGTGTGGGCTTGGAATTTTGTATGTTAAACTTTTTTGCTATATTTTTGGTATAATCACTCTGAGATATAAATATGGATTTGGATCCAGTGTTGCATTGAATGCTTGTTCTCAAGATCCAATGAGCTTCTCCTTTGCTCAAAATTCCAAACCATTTCCTGAATGCTTTTTCTAGGTCTAGAAGATGGTTTTCTGTTAAAAGTGTAAAACATGAATGGCCAGACTGGGTATTGAACCCAGGGCTTGTGTATATATAACAGGGGTGTTAACCATTACACCACCTGACCCTGGGAAACACTGCTAGCATTACTCAATCTAACATTTTCATCACCCACAGATGTGGTATCATCAACCCAGAAAGCCATCATGGCCCAACTACTGTCATCCCACATCTTGAAAAAATATGGCATTGTCAAAATCTGAACATGTCCACATGAGTTCCATTATAAAATCATACAAAGTTTTTCTCCATTCATTGCCTCCTTGCTTTGTGCCATGTAGTGCTTTCAATAATGGTAGCACTAAGTTATCCTTCTGACACGAATCAATTTTCCTTTGATTAAGTTGAATAATAATTGTAATATATTCTACAAAACTGAATACAGAAGCTTCATTCAATGAAGTATAGATTCACCCTGTCGATGAAGTGAGAGGCTAATACCAGTCACGAAGGCTTACAGATGTTAATGTCAAAGAGTTTCAATGATCATGCAAGACAAGATTGAGAGGTAGATTAATAATATAGATAATTAATATACAATGGAGAGTGTGATGTATTAACCTTATTTTAATAATATATTCTTGAAAAAGGAGTCCAGTGCTCTATCAAAATGTGCAAATACTCAATTCACTGCAAGGTAAAATAATTTAAGTATTTGATATTAATCAGTGGCAGTCTGAATAGACTTAGAACCCCTGAAGTCAAGAGTTTACTTGAATATATGCACCCTACTCTGCAAAGAAGGTTTTGAGAGCTGCTTTTGTAAGCTGTTCTTTTTCTGTGAAAACAATTACTAAAATATGAATAACAATTCACTGATTCCAAAAATAGATTCGACTTCAATTCCACTAGTTTATATATATTTTAGACTATTTATCAAACAGTAAAAATATTTATAAACAGGTCAAAAGATTAGATATAGAATAAAACACTATTTGACTAATATATGCTTTATTTACACTAACCTACAGGGTCTACTGTGATACTAACTTATCAGGATCTTAATGTAGTCTTAAGGATCATGCAAGGATATTCTCAGTATTTATTTATGTCTAAAACCGGGTCTACTGTGATACTAACTTATCAGGATCTTAATGTAGTCTTAAGGATCATGCAAGGATATTCTCAGTATTTATTTATGTCTAAAACCGGGTAGAAATTAGAAATGTATTCCTAATCTCAACAATGATAACCAAGATTGTTTATTACTTTTATTGATAACCAACAACTCAACTAGAGGTGGATAAGTAATAAAGAAAAGCAGCTACTCAACTAAGAGGTGGCAAGGGGAACAAGATTGCTTATCAGAAGCTCAACTAGAGGTGACAAGATTATAGGATTAATAGCAGAAGCTCAACTAGAGGTGACCAGGGGGTAGGACTATTGTCAGAAGCTCAACTAGAGGTGGCAATAAACTGCTTGCTGCAGTGACACACAGATGTGGTGTAAATGGGTTGATAAAATGATACTGTAAGATGTTCTATTCAAGGCTGGAGCTGAGTGTTAAGAACAGAAAACTGACTAATGTCGGTAGGCCAACGGGGACCGATCGGAAGGACTTGGCTTCAGCTTATGTGCTGCACCCTCACAAGTTACCGTCTGGTGTCCTTAAATTTCGGGTGGGTGAAAACTAGTCCTATCAAATCCCTCACAGTGAGTTATGGATCAGAACTGAAGGATAAGTCGAGTGTCAGGCCAAGGGGTCAGAGACCGAGGATAGGTGAGCGCATGTGAAGGCGGGAAGTGGGATACTTGGTGTAAGACTTATGAGAGATGTATGTGGGTGTTCTGAGTCAATATTCTGATTGCCTAGTAACTACAACTACAGCGAATTCATATACAAGTTATTGGCATCTAGAAAATACTAACTAAGGAAAGAGTGGAAACATTACTGACAAATAAACTTGACTAGGAACTGGAAGGTTATGATAAGTTCGGAGGCCGTGATTTAACTGAGAGCGGAATTATGAGAAAAGGAAATAGTCCACAGGTTACAAGTATATACAGGCATATGTGAAACATAGAGTAGAATGGATCATCATAATAAAAAGGGACCTATCAAAGCATAACCAGATAGTATGAGTATAACTTGACAGGGCGTAAATGGGGTTTGATCGCTGTGAAGGCATACGTCAGTGTCAGGCAACCGATCGTTTCCAATGCAATGACTTGATTGATAACTTGAAACATCAGTTGATGGTAATATCCTCGGGGACTGTCGGGTTGTGACACAGTTGCAACATGGTTGTAACACTGAGCTCCTTATATACATTTTAGTCTGAGACATTTTAGAAGATGCTAGAAGATTGAATGATGTCATTTAGAATTTTCTAGAATCCTATAGAATATTCTACAATATTCTATCTAGTGTTTGTACCTATTTGTAACTGTTATACCTCAAAACTACTGGAATATTCCAGGAGTTTATGCTATATTCCGAAATAGCATATATGTGACAGTATTTTCCCATGTGTCATGCTGGGTGCGCATTTTGCATATCATGTCACATAGTAAGTAGCCCTCTGTCTCCCAGTTCGATACTATTATATAGTTATTATATTTATTTTAGTTAATTATAAATATAATGCTATTTTATTATAATAATATATAAATATATATTGTCTTGACTATGTGTGATTATATCAAATCGTGTTCTGTCCTTGTCGGAGTTTGAAATGTCATGTGAATATCATGTGATCTCTCACATTTAACACTAGCCGACAAATTCTATTTTATTAAAACAAAAAAGAATTAAATTTGTATCTAGCTTAGATTTGACTCTAAGAATATGAAATAAATTGTAAAAATTCAATTTATGTCTGAAGAATATGTATACAAAGTTTTGTAAGCGATATAAATACATTTTTATTCAATTTCTCAATTCTCTTTGTTTTTTGAGGGGAAATTAAAGGAAAAATCATTAAATACATAACAGAGAGATTTTCTGACTGAGATCCTTCACTCTTCTCATCACCTTTTTATGCCTTTCCTCATTAAACTATGATTAAACTATGACCTATGAATGAAATCACATATGACATTGAAATGAGACAAGTCAAATATAAGTCAAATGTTTGTCAAATAAATTCAAGGGTGTCGAAGATGTCAAATAGAATGTTGAGTCGGAGTTTTTGTCAAAGATGAATTGATATGTTGAAGATGAGTCAAAGAGTTGTTGAAAGTTACCTTGAATATTCTTGTGACAATGTTGTGACAGTGACAGTTGTGACACCTTCCCAGGCTCTTCAAACCCTTCAGTCTGTTGCACCCAGTCCTTTTCTTTCATTGCCCTGTGTATGTATGCCAGTTTGACATCAAGTTGCCATGTCTCTAAATTCATTAATCCACCCAAAGCTAATAGGATTTGAAATGACTCCCACTTCATAACAGGTACATACTGTATGTTTTGTTGAAATGTAATCTGGGGATTTGACTGTATCCCTTGATGATGATTCATACTTTCCTTTTGACCAGTTCACTATTCTTATAAGATTCTTGACACACTGTCCTGGTTTTCAAGATTCACATACCAGGTAGTGGTTCTTCAGGTGGACCAAATACCTCATGATCCACCATATTCCTCCACTCTGTCTGTCTCACTTCCTCCCAAACTATTCCTTCATCTCCTGGCATATTTAATACCTCTTCTATTGTTGGATTGCCCAAAGTCAAGAAAACAACCAGCACCTTGGAATCTTCCAGTTCCTTTTCTTCAACTAACAATGAATCTCAAATGCCTTCTCATCATTTCCCAGATCTTGATGTTCCACAGGTACATCTGATACTAACTATGATTCTTTCCTTGATTTAGTTCCTTCTTCTATTATTTCAACAGGTTGAGGATGAGGCAGGATATGAATTATGAGTCTAGGCTGAGGCTCACTCAGGACTGATTGAATCAGAGGTACATTTATTATATCCTTGAATTGACCTTCATCTCCATATAGCACCAGTGATGACCACATCATCACATCCTGATGAAATATTGAAATATTGCATCTCATACCTTTTCAATACATATTAAATAACATCTCCAGTTGAGTTACATATTGTTAAGACATGTGCACGGAGCTTATCAGAGGGTTTCCAGAGAAATCCACAGGAAAGCCAGTAGGACTTGGCTTCAGCTTATAGGCTGCACCCTCATGAGATTGTGTCGTCCAATTTCAGATGGGTGGATGGGAATCCTGGGGAGTCAAGGAGGAGTTCATGGGTTGAGAGGTCGGGGAGTCGACTGTGGGAATCCCATGGAAGTTGAGGGGTCAGGTGGAGATGAGTTGGGGGTTGAGATAGATAGGTCAGAGGTCAAGTGATAGATGGGTCGGAGCCTGTGGGCTCCAATGAGGTAAAGTGGTGTGTTTCAAAGAGGAGATTAAAGTGGAAAATGTACTTGAGATTACTGGGGAGAATCTAAGCTGATTTTCTGACTGGATTGTATGTACAACATCTGCCTGACTATATAGACTATGGAATGTACTGTATAACATACCAAATCCAGTAATAATGAAATCTAAACTAGCAAACATGAAATGAGATAAGTAAACACCAAACTTGGTGTTAGGAATGGAATGGAGTGGAGTGGAGTCCAAATTGTGACAGGTCATTAGACCATAATGGGAATGGGGTGGGAGTGGGGTCTGAAATGTGACAGGTCATTTAACCATAATGGGAATGGGGCTCAGTTAGAGAGATGTCGGGTTTTCTGAGCAGGGTCCAGTGACTGGTGCATGAGACAGGGTTGGAGATAGACAGGAGCAGGTTCCAGCAGGTATTCCGGTGACTAATACATGAAGTGACGAAGGTTGAGCATAGACAGGTCTGACATCCAGAGTCTGGCAGGTATTCCAGTAAACTGATAATTGGTGCCTGTAGGGTGCTGTGAGGTATCAGCATTATCTCATAAGGTTCTCTTAATTTTCTTTGAATTATTTAATATGTTCTTGAATTTATTGTATTTTTTATTATATTTCTATTGTGAAATATAAGGCCTAGTTCCTTTTAACACATAATAATAGCATATATGAGCTCATATAATGCTATTATATCTTAGTTAATTTATTATAATTT